CAAACAAATACTTCAAATATTCAAAAAAAAGTCGCTAACTTGTTCTTCGCTCATCTCACAAGAATCGCAAGGAGTTTTCTGTTGCCATTGTTATTATTAGTCATCACCGACGAGTACTCACGCAAAACTCCTATTGCCGTGAATTGTTGTGTTCTTTAAGAATCATCCGTGAAGCAAACAACAACTTGTTCAGATTGATTTTTCAAATTATTATAACCAAATCCGAGCACTCAGCAATACATTCCATGAATCTGTAGTAAAAGGCTCTTTGAAAAACGGAAAATAGACCATCAGCATCCAACAGTAATTTCCTAAATTTTATATACGTACACTACAAACAACAACGCATCAGTTTTTCTTAACGCACTTTGTACTCCTCTTTCCAACCGGTGCTTTCATTTCGTGGTGTTTGTAGGAAATAGTCCATATATTTTCATTCTTTTCAACTGCGAGTATTAATACTTTGAAGACTCTCTCTTCCATCTTGTAGAAAGCACTAACAATAATCACTATGGTTTTATCCTTCTCCGGCAGCAGCAGCAACGGGATACCCATACCGTCATCCTCTACAACTTCACCCACCTCTCCAAGAGGAATACCTTCCAACACCATCACTTCCTCACCCAACAACAATAACTCTAGCCCAATTCCCATTCCCAACTCGAGTAATTCTCTCTTCACTAAACGAAAAACATCTAATGCCAAATATAAGCCATCCAATCTTAGTATTTCATCAGTGCGGGACGGCAAGGTTTCAAGAACACCCAAACAATTTGAAATTCCGCAAGAATTCTACATGTATTCATCATCAGTGCCGAATCCAACCACTTCACGACCTTCTTCAGTTTCTTCATCATCCATGATGTATGGCATGTCAGCAGATGAGTCATCATCATCCCATCAACAACCTCCTCAACATCATCACCATTCTAGTAAATCTCTCTCGTTTGCTAACATGAACCGTCATCAGCAAGATTTACCATTCTCTCCTCCTTCCACCTCATCAGCCATGATGATCAACACATCAACCATTTCAAGAGGACAACACGGAATGCATTCGGTTTCCTCCTCCTTTTCAAACTCGTCATCTTTATATGCCACTCCTCACTCTGCTTCGTCGTCTGGTTTTCATCATCCTCATCAACACCACCATCACTCATTTTCTCAACAACATTTTCCACCCAGTTCGTTGGGACATAATCACTACACTTCAGGCTATTTCAATCCTCACAGTTATGGTGATAGCAGTAGTGTTTGTTATTCACTGAGCAGTAGTGTGGATTCTACATGTTCTTTTGCAAGTCAATGTTGCAGTCCCAACGGAGGGTCGTTCATTCCCTATGACAAATTAAACAGAAAATTTAGAAAAATTAAACCATTGGGAGAGGGTTCATCGAGCACAGTTTCGCTGGTACAACAAGAGAGCACTGGTCTGCACTTTGCTGAGAAGATTATTGAACATTATGAAGAACGAGAATCCATTGTAAAGAATGAAGTTAAATTTCTGTCCATTTGCAAACCATGTCCAAACGTTGTGACGCTTTATGACTGCTTTCAGAAAGGAAATTCTATACACTTAATTTTAGAATACATGGAAGGAAATTCGATAGATATCATTGCTAAAAGATACAGTAAACTGTCAAGAAAGCAACGACAAGCAATTGAGGAAGATTTGGACGCACCCTTACCAGCACATCTCTCACCAATGACCTATGAAGATTGCGGTGACTCAGAATTAATTACTTATGACGACGATTTGGATGACTTGAATGGAAACGATATCATGGAAGATGAAATGTTTCCCATGACAGATGTGAATAGTAAGGCAGATAAACAATCAAAGAGACATTCTTCCACTCGCAGAAGGCTATTCGCAGAAGATACTACAGATAGCGCTAAAAACAGTGCTAGTGACCGCAGCCGAGGCATTCCTGAAGAGATTCTGGGATTAATGGTTGTTCAAGTTATAAGAGCACTTTGCTTCTTGGATGAACATAACGTGATTCACTCCGACATTAAGCCCAGTAACATTCTTCTAAACAAGAGAGGCGAGGTAAAATTGACAGATTTTGGACTTTCAACCTACGCAGACGTTGCACACAATAGACTAGGATCATTTGCCTACATGAGTCCAGAGAAGTTACAACACGGAAAGCATAGTCACAAATCTGACGTATATTCGTTGGGCGTTTCCATATTGGAATTATCGAAATGCAAATTCCCATTTTCCGAAAGTGGTTTTCACATGCACGAGATTCAAACCCTTGATGTGGAAAAATTTGTTGGAGATTCACATTCATATGATTTTAAAGATTTTGTGAAGAAGTGTATTCAAATTGATCCTTCTTCCAGACTTTGTGCTTCTGAATTATTGCAACACGAATGGATGCAACCTTTCAAGAATTTAGATAATGACATTGTTTGTTCCAAGATTGCAAATTGGTACAATAAATTGTTTGCTTGAAAGGTTTTCCTTAAACTATTCGTTGGTACTTTAATTGAGCTCGTCATGGTTATATGAAATTTTAATTATTTTACAATGAATTGGATGGTTAAATTATTGAGGTATGACAACTCAGCAGTTGATTAATAATCATCCTCCCTAACCCATTTGACTAACTTTTTTTCCTGAGCCGAATAATACTTGATGAGTCTAATCTTTTTGCAATGATTGACAATTTGATTTTCGAGTTGAGTGGTGTTCATGGGCTGCCTTATATCAAAAACGTCGAGTTCTCTCAAAGAATTTGAGCGAATGATCATGTTACTGTCAAAAGCTCCATTCGATAAGTTCAATCTTTTCAAATGTTTGAAACTTTCAATGTCCTTCGTGAGCAATTTACACATCGAAGGTCCCATCATGGATTTGTTTCCAGAAAGATCCAAAGTTCTCAAATTCGGAAAAAGAAAATGCCACGAGCAATAATGAAATAAATCATTATCGGCCAAGCTTAATTCACGCAACGAAGAATAATACGGGGCAGTCAATTTCCCATTCTTGTGCATTTCCACAAACATGGATCTCAATTGAAAATACAATTCCTGAATGGTCTCTTGACTCAATTGACAATCAATCAGTTTGAATGACTTTAAATGATTGTTAAATGTGAAAAATGGCAACACCACAAAATGAATGTAATAATTCGCTTGATTCGAGCAATTTGAAAAAGTCACTGATTGTATGTATGGAATGTAGAAATAATTTCGAACTTGATAAAATTGAATTGAAAATCGATGTTTCGATCGCGTCGAGTCCTGTGGAGTGGTCACATCTGAACCATCTTGTTGTTCATTGTCTTCTAAAATGGATATTTCATTCGTGTTGTTGATAGGTTCTTCAATTTTCTTTCGAATTTGAATGGCAATTTGTGAAGAACCAAGAGATTTCGATCTTCTTCGTTGTTGTTGTTGTTGATTACCATTATTATTCATCATTCCAATCATATTCATTGATTGTTGTTGTTGTTGTTGTTGATATTCATTACTAATTCTTTTCACACTTTTCACAACATGTCTTAAATGTTTTGGTAAATGTGAATGCAATGAAAGAGCATTGGGTTGCTGTCTGGAACCATTCCATACATTTGATTCTTCTGTAAAATCTCCCAATAGTAGTGTTGACGTCTGATTCGAATGATTGCCAAGTAAATGTTCAAATGAATTTGGACTTGCTGTGAGCATGCTTAAAAAATCATCGTCATAGGAAATTCTCAATCTTCGACAAGAAGAACGAGGTGACAACATGGCATTCATGAGAATTGAGGAAGAAGGTTGTTGTTGAAAGGATGATGAAGAATGTGTGAAAGATTGTGAATGTTCTTGTACTCGAAAAGAACTTGTTGAGCTCAATAATTGTGAATTGGATGTTGGATGAATAGGATTGGATGAGTTGGCATGTGACGTGAAAATGCTACGATTCGTATTGGTTGTGTTCTGAGAGTAATGATGGTCATGTCCTGTTCGATCATGACTCGGCGAATTCCAATCTTGTTGAGTATTCGTATTATTATGAGTATTCGTATTAATATTAGTATTGCTGTTATTCAAAAATATGGAATTATAACTCGCACTCGAATAATCTCTATAAAACGAATTATATAGAGCCAACATTTGATCAAATCCAATAAATTTCAAATGAGCATAAAAATCAAAAAGAAACAATCTCTGATTTCTTTCCTTTTCAAAAACTCCAAATAATTTTGACATGACATTATGTAATGAAAATGGAATGGATTTTGTGAGAGAGGCAGAAGAAGGTGAAATGGAACGTTTGTGGAGAGAGGCAGAAGAGGAGGATTTTTTTACAGGATGGAGAGTGGAAGAGGTATCATTGGAAGAAGATATGGTCGAATGGTTGGTAGCATTGGTGCTGGATGAGAAGACGGTGAAGGGTGAGGTAGTGTCACTTGTCAATTCTTTTAAATTAGACATGCTACTTGCTGTTTCTTCATAGAGTAACATTTTTTCATATAGATCACTGTAATGTGCTGTTTCAATTAATTTCTTCGAATAGAAAATAATTTCTGGGAATTTAATAAATGTTAAAATGTATAAAATAACATCAAATGGTAATTTCTTAAAATCATCAAAATCTATATATTCGGAATATAATTTGTTGTAGACTGTAATCATGTTTTTTGTCGGAGCAACAAACATTCCATGATCGTAGTAATAGATGTGTTGCATTTTTTTAATTGTTTGCGTGAGGCAGTTCTAATTTGGAAGGCAACAGCTGAAGAATGCCAAATGTCAAAAATGTCATTCTCAAAAGAGAACCTTTGAGGTCATGAGAACCAAGAGAACCAATTGAAAGTTAACCTTCAGAATTGTGGGCATCATCTTTTTGATTGCAATTAATATCTTGTTTGAGGTCTCATTCTTCGTCATCTTCCTTCACGTTTCTAATTCGAATTCAATTCAACAAATATAAATATTAATAATCATAAACAAAAATCTCATCATCACGCAAGCGAAACAACAACGGGTGATGGCTTTGAAAAATGATGCAAGCCACACGTAAGAATTTTGAATCCGAAGAGTTATTGGATGATGAGCTTTCATCATCTTCCCACACAACCTCTTCCGAAATTCATTTCAATGAACCAAATTTGGATTCATCCTCGAATAGGATAATTACATCATCATTATTGGTGAATCATCATCACAGTGATGATACTAACAATTTCAATAATAACATTGCAAATTCAAAGCATGGAGAGATCAATCAAATCATCAATGCTAATATTAATTTAAATCATTCCGTTTCATTCCGAATGGATCTACCATCCCACCATAACAGTAGTTCAAACCAAGAAGGAATTCAATTTGATGAAACGTCCAACACCAACAACACATTGAAACAACAAGCGTTGAAACAACAGGAAGCTTACGGAAAAGTAACTTCTGGTTCTTCGGATGAACCTACCAACAATAAGAAGAATCAACCATCATCATCACTTCAACAACAACAACCTATTTATTGGATTCCCATGCATAAACCCTCGTTATTGGAAGAACCCAATCAACAACTCCAAAATATTATTAGTCCCTCTCTGGAAGATGATTCCTTCTTGATGATAGACGTCAATGAGAGAGGAGATTTATATACGAGTCAGACCTTTCTCGATTCGAATGGAGTGAGGCACGATGAAGAAATTCGTAAACATCGGTTATATCCGAGTATGATTCCGAGTGGAGAGGGATTTGCTGGATCTCTCCCAAAGTACTCGGTCTGTTTGGATTTGGATCAAGTGGCTAAAGAGATGGGAAGTGATATTCAGGTGGATGTGAGCTCGTTTGTGAATGCTCCAAATTCGACAGCGACCACTCCAAATGTCATGGATTCAAGTAATAATATCAAGGATCAGAATCATGAGGTCAATGCAATGACCATGTATCCCTTGTTAATTTCAGCAGTAGATTCCGATTCCTTGTTTGGAAACGCCATTGGTAGTCAATTAGTGAAACGGAGTGGAGGCGATGCTAGCAGCAGCGGTAGTAATTTAGGACAAGCTCTGGCAGCATCAGCGTCCACAACAACAACAACCATTATGGCCACTTCAGTTGATTTAATTCCATTATTACAGCCACAAATTGAATTAGGATATTTAAATAATTTATTATTGAATGAATCGGCGGTATTGGACAGGATGGGAAAAAGACAAATTGAATTTCATCATGATTTTTATGTTTTGTGTTATGAATATTATAATTCGTTTTGCAAGGTGAAGAAACTGAAAGACTCACTCGCTCAATTAGTATCGGAACAGAAAGGATTACAGAAGTCTCTATTTACATTCTCTACTAAAACTTTTCAGTCACCAACCTGTCAATGTGGTGATGGCTATCAATTGGTGGGATCTGTGACGGCTCTCAATGCTACGCCCAACAAACATGTAATTGAAGCGTTACACAAAAATTTTGCACAAATCCGAAGATTGTACCATGACAATGTTGTGGAGGCAAATTTATTGAACAAGTATGCGAACATTCGAATTAGTCATTATTTAGATGAACTTATTTCCAGCTCTAATTTATTTAATGTGCAAACACCCATTGTGCTGACATTGCAACACAATACGCGATCAGAACATGACAACGAAGTTGTTGAAAGATTGAAAACCTGCATTCAGATCTTGTTCTTTTTTGAGCAGGTTACACACGGTATGGCATCCATTGTGACGCCTTTAGGATGCACAGAATTGGAGTTCTCACTCGACGAGACGATGAAAGAACTCAAGTCGTTTAGGAACGATATACGGAATTGGATTTCATGGTGTGTCACACAACTCATCAAAATTGCCACCATTGAAGACAATCGATTTATTATTTTTGAGATTGTGAAATGTGACATGTGGGTTCTTGGGCTGCATTTATGCTCCAATTTCCAATTCATTGATTCCGACAGCAGCGTTGATCAATTTCTTGCCTTTTTCTCACTCTTCCTAACCCCTACGTATATCAAAGAAAATGAACTCATTCTTACTGAGGATGATTATTTAAGCCTGTGGCAACAGCTACGATTATTTGAAAGTATGGATTATATATTATCAGGATGCACACAACAATTTTTCAAGGAAAAACAATCTTCCTATTTCACATCCCTCTCGCGAGCATTCTCCTTCATTGATACTGTTCTCTATATTCTATACCAGGCCTTAATTAATTTTAGCAAGTCACCTTCTCATTCCTCCTTTACTCGAATGCTCTCACAAAACATGGCGCGGCTTGTCCAGATGGCTTCTAATTCTATAAGTCAATTAGAAGGAGTGAGCACTGAAGACATTGAGTATTTATTTAACAGTTTTTATGTGAAGGTATGTGACAAGTGTATTTTACAAACATATTATGGACACCCTAAATTCACGTTACGATTCTTGATCGAATTTTACTTCATGTATAGTGTTTTAAGGGACTTCTTTCTTCAACTTCAAACTTGTGGTCCTTCCTTTCCGAATTACCATATGAAATAATTTCTGAAGCCTGTGCATGTTCCATATTTTGGATCATGTTTAGAGACGAGAAAACTGTAGATATGAACATTTCGTATGACGTTTTGCGCGATCTTGATTTGTGGACGCACAAGTTGAATGAAAACAAAACATTGAGAAACAACTTTATCACAATGTTCCAACAGAAAGAATGTGGATACTTGTTCCCAGTGTTGTCTCGTTTGGGTTGTTCTCATTCATTTGGTCTTGCTTCAATAATTGTTCATGAGTTATTCCTGATAGGATGTAAGTTATCCATTGTTGTATCATAACTGTGTACCAAGATTGTGAAATTTGTTTAAATTACGCCGCAATGACTAGTTATTAATGATACATCACGAGATACGTACTTTAGAGATGCTACAAAGAATATTGTTCTTATTTGTGAAGCTCATCCACGATTAGTGTCTCTTGTATTGGCACTTGTCACAAAATATTTAAAATTTGTAGATCGGTATTCCCTAACTATCTTCAAGCAGTTGCCATTAAAGAGCTGGAAGATTCACCAAA